AGAGTGCAAAAAGTCTCAATGTTGACAATATCATACTGTGAATCAATCCGAATGCTACAGGAAATTCTCTTCAAGTGAATGACACCATTGTTCACACACTCCTTACCAGATGGAGAGATCTCAATAAGCAGAGATCAATTGCACCTTACTGTGATACAGCCACAATATCCCCAACGGCAATTAAGATTTGATTTGGTTCCAGACAGATGGAAAGTCCGCAACTTAAAGAGAACAAATGTGCCTCGTGATGACCCAGCTCATGGTTGTGACTTCATCTTGGTTTCTGCATAATGCAATTTTCCCATTTAACTCATTAAATTTAAAAATTTGTTGCAGTATGAGTTGGCCTTTTTCTTGTCTTTACCTCATATGACATATAAATGGATCCATAGCAGACCTGGGTAGCTGTTGGAGATATTATGGCTGGGTCAACATGAGGCACATTTGATTTCTATAAGTTAAGGTCTTTCCGGGGATGGGGTGGGGGGTAGGAAAGCTAGAAAATGTTGCTACCAGATGTCAGTTAAGGTCGTTAAAAGACATTAGATAATAGAGGTAAGTGCCATAGTACATTTTATTATCTCAACAAAATGTATCAAGTAATAAGTAAGCAATTCATCAATCAACCAGAACATGTGAAAATGAATTAAACTATTGGCTCCTTCCATTGATCTCATATACATCCATCCTGTCTGAATGTTCTGATTGCTCCTGTTTATTCTTAGATGTAAAAATCCATCTCTTAGCCTCCCTTATGGTATCGACTTCTTTATGCCAGTCTACATGTGTCTTGTTGTCAAAACCTAGTTAATAAAGTATTTCTAAAGCCTTTTTTTTTATCCTTTCCCTGCATTAAAGGTAAAAAACACCCTACTAACTGCCCCCATCCCTAAACATTACCTGGCATCTCTCACCACTTCAGCACCGGTCTCTCCTCTTCCTGGTTTTGCAGACACAGAGAGCAGCGAGAGCCGTAGGCTCTTGTGGCTGTCAAACTAATGTGTGGAGGGGGCAGGGGCATGGTTTACCTGTGCTGTGTGTGTTTATGGACACACACAGCCTAGATTCAGAGCGCGCCTGCATGGGTATCCCCATAGCACATGACTTGCTAAGAAGGCACCCCGATGAAGAAGGAGCAGACCACCAACAGGGTACCACCAAAGAGGAGGTAAGGAACTGCTCTTTGTCATATTGTTGCACACAGCAGGTAAGTATAACCTCTTTTTTATTTTAACCGCTTAAGAACTGCCCTATAGCAGAAACACTGCTACAGGGCTGCACCTGTGCGTATATATGCGTGATTTTGCATTTACAGCTAGGGGGCACGCAAGCCCTACCCGCTCCACCATTCATGGGCACTTATGTCAATCACTGGATTCCGGCCGGTAATTACCCGCCGGCACCCGGTGATTACTGAGAATCACCGACGGGGAGGAAGACTTTGGTTTACAAACAGTCTTCCTCCCTGTTAGCTCTGGCACATTGCTTGGGACGGCTGTGGATTTGATAGATAAAGGTGTGTCTTGAAAAAGGTACTGGAGAAGACTTTGCCTTATTGTCTTAAGTGAGCTTTTCTTGATCCATGATAAAATGGATTTCCAGAACTGTTTACTCTTAGGGAACATCCAGCATATATGGTGGAAAATCCCTTCTTGCATAGAACCCTTCCAACACATTGCGTTTGTGGGAAGATTTTTGCCAAATGTGAGGGAGTCCTACACCTTCTGCACATAAGTCTATGTAGCATGACTCTTTAATTTTGGTACTAATAGCAGAAACATTAAAGCCTTATAATTTTTTTCCATATGATTGCATGTGAACTTGATGTTTAGTTCTCTCTCCCATAAATTTGTGAAAGATGATATCTTGTTCTTTGGTCCTTAGCACACATAAACTCAAAAGTGGTTAAATCGGCCACTGGCTGTAATTTGTACTTCCACTGCAATCCATGCAATTTCTTAAAGCTTCCAAATTTACAATCTTTTCCTCAGGGGCAAATTATAACTTGTAGTGATTCTGTCAATCCCCCATATTTTAAAAAAAGTTTACATCTTCTCTGGGTTCATACCAGGGGAACCCACTCAGTGGGGTTTAGAGTGGGGCCAACTCTCCCTTATGATTTAACCTCTTGCCTACAGGGCACTTATACCCCCTTCCTGTCCAGGCCAACTTCCAGCTTTCAGCGCTGTCACACTTTGAATGACAATTGCGCGGTCATGCAACACTGTACCCATATGTAATTTTTATCATTTTTTTGAGACAGATAGAGCTTTCTTTTGGTGGTATTCAATCACCTCTGGGATTTTTATTTTTGCCTAAACAAACCAAAAACCACAAAAAAATTTTGAAAAAAAATGTTTTTTCTTAGTTTTTGTTATACAGTTTTGTAAATAAGTGATTTTTCTCCTTCACTGATGTGCGCTAATGAGGCTGCAGTGATGGGCACTGATAGGTGGCACTGATGAGGCACTGGTAGGTTGCACTGATGGGCATTGACAGGCATCACTGATGGGCACTGACAGGCAGCACTGATACATTACACTGATATATGGCACTGATAGGCGGCACTGACTGGCACTGATAGGCGGCACTGACTGGCACTGATAGGCGGCACTGACTGGCACTGATAGGCGGCACTGACAGGCAACACTGACTGGCACACTGATGGGTGACATTGAAAGGCAGCTCAGATGGGCACTGATATGTGGCACTGATGTGCACTGATATGTGGCACTGATGGGCACTGGCACATGGCACTGATGGGCACTGACAGGTGGCACTTCTGGGGCCACACTGATCATCAGGGCACATTGGCTCTCCTCTCGAGCTGTCAGCGTGACAGCTCGAGAGGAGAGAAATGCAGATAACCGGCATTTCCCTGTTTACATGTGATCAGCTGCGCTCTCCCTGAGCCACGCATGCGCACTGAGAATGGTAGGACGTCATATGACGTCCTATCAGAACGAGAGAACCACCTTGCGCCCGTCATTGTACTATAGGGCTGGCGGAAGGTGGTTAAACTATCCCAAATTTTGAAAGTCCTTAATGTAGTAGTAAGGAAAACCCAACTCAAAAAGCCCCTATGTACTGCCTGAAATACCATGATGCACCTGCTAGATTGTGTTATGCCATGATTTTTTCCAGCTTGACTCATGATAGTTTGTTATGCATGTTATGATGCCAGTGCCATATACAGTATATTGCCAAAAGTACAGGTGAAACTCAAAAAATTAGAATATCCTGCAAAAGTTAATTTATTTCAGTAATGCAACTTAAAAGGTGAAACTAATATATGAGATAGACTCATTACATGCAAAGTAAGATAGTTCAAGCCGTGATTTGTCATATGTGTGATGATTATGGCTTATAGCATATGAAAACCCCAAATTCACAATCTCAGAAAATGAGAATATTGTGAAAAGGTGCAATATTCTCGGCTCAAAGTGTCCCACTCTAATCAGCTAATTAAGCCATAACACCTGCAAAGGGTTCCTGAGCCTTTAAATGGTGTCTCAGTCTGGTTCAGTAGGAATCACAATCATGGGAAAGACTGCTGACCTGACAGTTGTGCAGAAAACCATCATTGACACCCTCCATAAAGAGGGAAAGCCTCAAAAGGTAATTGCAAAAGAAGTTGGATGTTCCCAAAGTGCTGTATCAAAGCACATTAATTTGAAAATTATGTGGAAGGGAAAGGTGTGGAAGAAAAAGGTGCACAAACAGCAGGGATGACCGCAGTCTGGAGAGGATTGTCAGGAAAAGGCCATTCATAAAGTGTTGGGGACTTTCACAAGGAGTCGACTGAGGCTGGAGTCAGTGCATCAAGAGCCACCACACACAGACAGATCCTGGACATGGGCTTCAAATGTCGTATTCCTCTTGTCAAGCCACTCCTGAACAACAAACAACGACAGAAGCGTCTTACCTGGGCTAAAGAAAAACAGACCTGATCTGTTGCTCAGTGGTCCAAAGTCCTCTTTTCTGATGAGAACAACTTTTGCATCTCATTTGGAAACAAAGGACCCAGAGTATGGAGGAAGAATGGAGAGGCACACACTGCAAGATGCTTGAAGTCTGGTGTGAAGTTTCCACAGTCTGTGTTGATTTGGGGAGCCATGTCATCTGCTGGTGTTGGTCCACTGTGCTTCATTAAGTCCAGGATCAACACAGCCGTCTACCAGGAGATTTTGGAGCACTTCATGCTTCTTTCCGCAGACGTGTTATGGGGATGCTGAATTCATTTTCCAGCAGGACTTGGCACCTGCCCACACTGCCAAAAGCACCAAAACCTGGTTCAATGACCGTGGGATTACTGTGCTTGATTGGCCAGCAAACTCGCCTGACCTGAACCCCATAGAGAATATATGGGGCATTGCCACGAGAAAGCTAAGAGAAATGAGACCGAACAATACAGAAGAGCTGAAGGCCGCTATTGAAGTATCCTGGTCTTCCATAACACCTCAGCAGTGCCACAGACTGATAGCTTCCATGCCACGCCGCATTGAGACAGTAATTGCTGCAAAAGGGGCCCAAACCAAGTACTGAGTACATATGCATGCTGATACTTTTCAGAGGTCCGATATTGTTCTATGTACAATCCTTGTTTTATTGATTGCATGTAATATTCTAATTTTCTGAGATTGTGGATTTGGGGTTTTCATGAGCTGTAAGCCATAATCATCACACTTATGACAAATCACGGCTTGAACTATCTTCCTTTGCATGTAATGAGTCTATCTCATATATTAGTTTCACCTTTTAAGTTGCATTACTGAAATAAATGAACTTTTGCACGATATTCTAATTTTTCGAGTTTCACCTGTATTGGGATACCCCTCCAAATCATTGGATTCAGATGTTTGTCACCTCCATGGCCACAGGAGTATAAAATCAAGCACCTAGGCATGCAGACTGCTTCTACAAACATTTGTGAAAGAATGGGTCACTCTCAGGAGCTCAGTGAATTCAAACATGGTACCTTGATAGGTTGCCCCCTGTGCAGTAAGCCAATCAGTGAGATTTCCTTGCTACTAAATATTCTATGGTCAACTGTTAGTGGTATTATAACAAAGTGGAAGCAACTGGGAACAACAGAAACTCAGCCACAAAGTGGTAGGCCATGTAAAATGACAGAGCAGGGTCAGCGCATGCTGAAGCGCACAGTGCATAGAAGTCGCCAACTGTCTGCAGAGTCAATAGCTAAAGACCTTAAAACTGCCTGTGTGCTTCAGATTAGCACAACAGTGCGTACAAAGCTTCATGAAATGGGTTTCCCTGGCCAAGAAGCTGCATCCAAGCCTTACATTACCAAGTGCAATGCAAGTGTTGGATGCAGTCGTGTAAAGCATGCCAACCCTGGACTCTAGAGCAGTGGAGACGTGTTCTAAGGAGTGACTGGCAATCCGGTGGATGTGTCTTGGTTTGGAGGTTGGCAGGAGAACAGTACGTGCCTGACTGTGTAACGTTTAGTGGAAGGGGATTATGGTGTGGGGTTGTTTTTCAGGGGTTGGGTTGGCCCCTTCGTTCCAGTGAAGGGAATTCTTAAGGTGTCAGCATACCAAGACATTTTGGACAATTTCATGCTCCCAACTTTGTGGGAACAGTTTGGGGATGGCCCCTTCTTGTTCCTACATGACTGTGCACCAGTGCACAAAGCAAAGTCCATAAATAATAAAAAAAAAAAAATAATAATTATAAGCACCCTAACAAAACTAAATTAATCATAAACACATTAACCCCTAACAAAAAATAAATAATAGGAAGACAAACTATTAACCCCAACACCTAACCCCTAACTCTTAGCCCTAACCCTAAACATAACGCCTAACCATAACCTCAACCCCTAAATTGTAACCCTTACCCTAACAATAAACAAAAAAATGAATAGTAATGGAAAAGCTGAAAAACTTAGCAGCAAATAATGAAACAGCTATTTTTCTCTATTGGCTATTAAAAAAAACCTCATTAATGCTTTAAAAGGCCTGAAAAAATGCTCAAGAACACAATGCTCAGGTGAGAATGCAGCCTGAAGCTTATGCACAGCATTCCTTTCACTTTAATCAGGGTCTATTTCTGGACACATCTCAAGCTAGAGTGTTTCTTGCAAAGGAGAAAAGCTCAGGCTGATGCTGAGGACCAGGTTGTCCTTAGGGAATGTCTCAGAAATCTGGCTCTGGAGTCGGGAAAGTCCTTCCTTCATGTCTTTTGCAAGAGCCTCATGATGGATGCCAGCCTATCAGGCTGGGGAGTAGTCCCGAGCAGCTTGGTCATCAAAAATCTCATCTGCTTATCAACATTCCAGAACTTAGGGTGTTTTGGCTCCTTTGCTGCAAAAAAAGAGGGAGATCAGAGGTTTTTCAGGATCTGTGTTGCAGGTGAGGAATGCTGGATGTGGACCTCTTGGTCTCCACGTTCAACAACAGACTAGACAAGTTTGTTTCCAGGTATAGGGATTCTCAAGCGAATGCATTGGAGGATCTGGTGGCTCCGTGTAATCAGCATACTCTGCTATATGCCTGTCCTCCCTTGAAACTTTGTATGCTTTTCAGGATGGAAATGGAGGGCATTCCGGTAATCCACATTGCTGTGGACTGTCCCAAGTGGATGTGGTATGCTAACCTTGGTAAGACTCCAGGCCAATGCTTTGTTGCAACTGGCAGATCAGCACAATCTTCTTTTCTGAGGTTTTATTTATTCTGCTTCTTGGTCACTGAGTTTTGAAGCCCAGGTTCTGGTAAACAGGGTCACCTCTGAGTCTAGAAGAAGAGGTTTGGGGCTGCTCTGTGCAGTTCCATTGCACAGAGCAGGTAAATATAAACCTGTTGGTTATTTAAAAAAACATAAACACATTTGCAATCATTTTTTCATGTGTCCTTCATTGGCCTCTGAGGAAAGGATTTTGCTGTGAGTACAAAAATGCTATTGTCTGTACTGTGCTAAATATGTATTGTCTTCTTTCTTTTGATATTTTATGCCATATTGTTCCTAATTACACTTTTAAATATACACGTTTATGCTGAATTTCAAATGTCCTAGTGGTAAAAATATAGTCTGCTACAAATAATTTTGTATGAGCATACTGTGATGATTTGCAGTATGGAGTAAGAAACTATCAGCACAGTATACAGTCTCTGGAGTATGTCTTGACTAGTACACTGTACAGATTGGAGTGGGCCAGTGTGTGTCAACCATAGCATAGTGTAGGGATTGCGCAGTCTGGAGTATGTCATGTGAACCAAAGTGCGCAGAGTAGAATTTATTTAGAGAATTTAACATACAGCACAGCCAGAGTGGACACTTTTTTGCTAGTGAAGACGGAGCTCTTTTTTGCAGTGCTAAACACACTAAAACTCTGTGAAGTGGTTACTGCTTTCTCTCACTTCTTGGGTTTTTGCTTTTTTGTCTCTTTCACATGGGCACAGAACTCTCACATCTCAAAAAGCCATTTGTTTATCTTTTTGGGTGCAGAGACTGTTCATTTGAGGTTGTGCACCTGTTCCTCTGTACCCATCAAACGGCTACATGAGTGAGATTGTAGAGATGTTGTCTCTGTTTACATATATTGGCTGCCTGCATAGAGCTCCATGCTACTCAAAAATGAGAAAAAATTACTCTTAATGTTGTGCATGGGCTCTGCAATGAGCCCTAAAGCTGAACCTTGCCCAGCTTAAAAAAACAAACAAATTAAATGCAGGTTTCCCATATATATATATATATATATATATATATATATATATATATATATATATATATATATATATAGGATCTAGTTACTTGTAATTCTATGATCCTGTGGCAGCTTGTGCCCCAAGCCTCGATGCAACTGCAGAGAAGGTGCTTTGTGGGACCAAGCTTTGGTGCTACCGAGAAGAGAAGGGCTTTGAGGGTGTTGTCTTCTAATATATGAAATCCATACAGAAATAGTTCATAAGACAAATCTGTTGTCTTATATCAATTATGGAGAACATATGACCAGTGTAGATTTAGATATACTTTTCCCGCAGCAACCAATAGTTCTGTTCCACAGAGATGCATTTATTCGGATAAAGATATTTGTTACAGGTGACAGAAATCCAGCTGAATACTTGTAAATATTACAATGAACAATAACCCTCAAAGTCCCATTCAAGATACTTCATATCAAGCATAGAGATACTACACCGTCCAGCATATGTCCAATCTATAATATGCACCTAGGTAGCTTCTACGCATGCAATATTGTGAGTTATGATCTATACCTGTGCTCCCATATTAATGACAGGAAGAAAACTCCTTTTCCAGCTGAAGTACAGACAAGTAAGATGACAGGCAATCATTAGAGGACCTTCCTGTGTCCTGTCACATGTGTTCTGTCTTCTGTGTTCTGCGTTAATATACACATTTTCCCCATTCAGTACAATGGCAAGCACTCTGATTGGCCACTTTTAGTAGCATGTTTGATCTTATGTGTCTAGACCTAGATGCATAGATTTTAATTAAAAAGTTAAATAGATACTACTTGTCTTGTTTATGGCAAATCTGCTCTCTTCACCATAAACAAGCACACCATGAATATTTAAGACTTTTCCCAATCTATTTGCAAATAACCTGCTCTGAAACTTCCCCTGACTCTCCATATATTTATGCAAAAACAGGTTAACCCAACACAACAAAGGTGAGATAATTACCTCATGCATACATTAACAAAGCACAGAGTCCTTTTGGTGTGTAAAGTGGTCTTGTCACTGGCCTGTCCAAGAATGAACAGTATGTGTTTCAATATCTTCAATATATATATATATATATATATATATATAAACAGAGGGGACCAGTAATTAATACTGTAAGTGGCAAGGAGGCAAAGGAGGCAGGCTGTGGGACTATAAAGTATATGGCAGGCATTCTTCTCTACCACAGCCCCCCCATACTACCATACTAAACTAGCATTACATCCCGAATATCAGGGTAGTGGGGGCATTTTTTTCACTATGTGATGCCTGTTTATGTGTCCTTGCTTCATAAGCCAGTTATAGACTTGGGTGGGTGGCCACTTTTATGCATAGTGGGGGCATGTTGACTATATTATTTCAGTCCTTCTAAATTTTAATGCCTATTAATTACCTTTTTATTATTTTTTACCATATCCGGTTTTTTAGCTTGCCCCATCGATTAGATTTATATGTTACTCAGTTGGTAAATAGGTTAACATATGATGTATTTGTTTATTTCTTACAGATAGAGTCAATGCTGGATATAGCTGAAAGGGAGCGTCTCGGAAATACTCGCCAGGCAGACAAACCTCTGATTCGACTTCGGGTAAGACATATACAGATCATTACTGCATTACGTTCATTTTAAAGTATAGTGATGCGAGCAGTGGCATACAGTAATCACATCTGCTTTTATTAGTCTGGCTTTTATTTCATTTTATTCTACTTATTGCTATAGCTTGTTTGATATCTTTGCTCTTTGCATTTTATAAGCAGAATTATTACATAACAGTAACTTAAATGGCTTTTCTACCATGGATAAATAAAGATTAAATGAAGAGCTGTACATACAGATTTGCTCTTTCAGAGCAAACAACAACAACAACAAGAAAAAAATGTTAATAACATTTGAACAAAAAGGCATTACATCTTGTCTGCATGTCAACATGGAGCATAAGTAGATGGATTCACTAAATGTGAGAGTGTTAACAGAAGATGCTATCCAGCAGCCCATCAGCACAGGAGGCACACATCACCCCAGCCAGTGGGGGCCACCAGAGGAACACGCTTCAAAAGTGCACATGTAACGTTCTAGAAATAGTTTTTTAATATTCTTTTTTTTTTTAAATGATGAATGTCTAGCTGCCCAAAAAAAAAGAAATAGAAAAGGAGCCCAACATGGACCCCAGAGAACCAAAGAGGAGAACCAATAAAGAAAATTAAATGTAGAAATTCCTTTGAAACAAACTTCCACAGGTATCGACTTTTCGATCAGTTACTGGCTCTATAGGCTGACATCCTATTGCAGCCTCAGAAAGCACAGGGAGAAAATAAAATGCAATGTTACAAATGTAAAAGGACAGTTCACAAATGCTAGGAGTTCGGTGAATAAAATGACAGAATTGGAACTGCTGATACACGAGGAGGATTTTGACTTTTTGGGAGTGTCACAAAGTCACCCTTGTGACTATCCAGGGCTACTGGTGGAGGGGGTGCACATGTGATTTGATTGAGTCATTTGATGGTAAGTATGAGGGATGACATTACTAACGGGGCAAGGGAGGAGGTGGAATCCTTGTGGCTTGAGCTTCAAGGGGAAAAACAAAACGGAAATTAATAGTGGAAAACCTGAAGGATGATGAGGAGACCGCAGGTAGAAATGGTGGTGAGGCAGGGAG